AGTACACCATTTTAAGAAATAATAAGGTTTTTATTTTTTTAAATAATTTTTACCTAATGAAAGAAAAAAACAGTGATGTGTCAAAATCAAATATGAGAGACTATAAAAGTAGGACCACTTTTGTTTGAGTGCATAAAAGATGTCTTTAAAATCATAACTAGGACAAGGTGATCTATAAATTTCAGACTCTATTTTATCAATATTTTTTTATTATTTACAATAGTTGCGGATTTATTATTTAATATTAATTATAATATTAGTAGTTTAAAGGAAATGATGTGATTAGATGTATGTGTGAGAGAGAGAGGAAAATAAAGAGGAAGATTTGGTGTTGATTGGGGGAAGGGAATGGGGGGGTGGCCAAAGCCAAGGCGAAAGCAAAAGAGAGAGAGAGGCATGTGAGTAAGCAGCTTTTAACTTTAAAACCACTCACTTCTTTGTGTCAATCAACCTGCCTTCTTAGCTTCCTTTTAACACCAATAATGCACCACCACATCTCACCTCTCTTTTTCTTTGCTTTTAGGGCAGCTTCACATGGGCGTGTCAAACAAAAATGTGTGCATAAATGGATCTCTATGGTATATACCACACTTTACACTTTCACATATCGGATTGAAAATTTTACCCCACCATCGGGTTCATAACACTTATGTAAGTGTAACAATGACCCACTTCATAACCATTTTGGTACCATTGTCTTCTGGTGGGTTCAAATAATTGATGGTGAAATTTAGTGATGTTTCTTTCTTTCTAACCATTTTGGTACCATTGTCTTCTGGTGGGTTCAAATAATTGATGGTGAAATTTAGTGATGTTTCTTTCTTTCTATCTTCTTGTAGTCAAACTGGTGGGGAACAATGGAAGCTACAGAAAGACGCCAAGAAACATCAAGTCAAATCCAACGATAAAAGATTAGAAAATATCCGAATCATAACAAAGTAAAGCAGAATCATATGCAAGTGAAGCTCCAAGTCCAATAGAAAGAGTGTGAAGGAAGAATGGCCGATGACTTCGCCACACCACACAGCAGCTTCGGGTATGTGCTGTTTTTGCAAATAATGAATCATTTTTTTGGTGCCTACTTTCTACTTCCAACAATGGAATAACTTTCTTTTCATATTCAATGAAAGCAAGAAAAGAGAAAACTTTCCCATTGCAAATTGTTCTTCCAATACACATGCATCCTTTTTTCTCCTTTTATATACTTCTATTGGCTAAATATAACTCAATTAGAACTTTAAAATAAATTGATAGTTGTAATTTTTAGTTTGAGCATCGAAGTTACGAACATCACGTATGTGACAATGGTAGATTCTCTTTTCTTGGGCTCGTCATATGTGAGTTTCAATTTTTAGTCTGTAAACTGAAATGAGTTGAAAACCCGGAAAATAAGGAAAGGTAATTTTCTTTAAAAAATTCCATACTCGCATAAAGGATCAAGTTTCAAAATAAGGGCTATTTGTAGAGCATAATGGCGCACAATTAAGAATGGATAAACCCAATAAAAAAAGTGCCAACTTATCATTTGAAAGGAAAAAACAGGATTCCAAATCCGTCCCTCAAAAAGAAATTGGGAGGCCACAAACACAAGGTTCCAACAAAATTTTCATCATAATCCCTAATCCTCCGGTTATTCAAACTCCACGCTAAAATTAAAAATCCCTGCTCTGAACCTCAGGGCCTAATAGTGGAGAAAATCCACAGATCCAAACACTCCCCACCTTCATAATCTTAGAGAACGCATTTATTGAACAGAGCTAATGTGACGAATCAGGTCGATCACACGTGAACTGCATAGGTGTAGAAGAAAAAAACAAATTTAATGTCTTATTCCGCAGTTGCATAAAAGCAATGCATACAAGAATCAGATAATTTCCTACCTGTATCCCCACTCGTTGTCATACCAAGTGACGAGCTTCACGAAGTTGTCGTTCAAAGCAATGCCAGCCTTGGCATCAAAAATGCTAGACCTGTGACAGTAACAATAGCAAATGATATATACGAAATTCACATCTTGTGTAATAACCGTAGAATAATGCATTGTTTACACCACTGACCTGCTGTCACCAACAAAGTCGGTTGAAACAACATCATCTTCTGTGTACCCAAGAATTCCCTTCAGCTTGCCCTCTGATTCTTCCCTGATAAGCAAACAAGAAATTCGACTTAGCATGAAGGAGAAATTCTCATTCGTAGGAATCAAGTTCATTATGAAATTCCAACATTCGTTGGTTCTTACTTGATGGCAGCCTTAATATCTTCGTAAGTGGCCTTCTTTTCAAGCCTAACAGTGAGGTCAACAACAGAGACGTCAACAGTGGGAACACGGAAAGCCATTCCTGTCAACTTTCCATTTAGAGCAGGCAGAACTTTACCAACGGCCTACGCATGAGTAAAAGCAATGATCTTAGTCAAATTATTTAATAAATGAAACATCCAATTTTGGAATCAGTGTATAAGCAAGCTAAATTTGTTACTAGAACAAGTGAATGGATTAGAGGATATGACAAGGACATGCGTAAATCCTGAAAAACTACCTTAGCTGCACCAGTGCTGCTGGGAATGATGTTGAAGGAAGCGGCTCTTCCACCTCTCCAGTCCTTCATTGATGGTCCATCAACAGTCTTTTGGGTTGCTGCATAAGTAAAACGGTAAGCAATTGCAGAACTTACTGCACATTTAGTAAGGATGTTTGGAGGAGGATAGTACATACCAGTGATGGAATGGACAGTCGTCATGAGACCCTCAAGAATACCAAATCTATCATTGATAACCTGATGCATAAAGCTAGGTTAACTTCTGAAAAAGTCAATTTATAATTTCTTCAAAATGAATTAAGCACCAATTATCTAAAACGATTAAACTACCTTCGCCAATGGAGCAAGACAGTTGGTAGTACAACTAGCATTGGAAACAATGTTGAGATCTGCCTTGTACTCCTTCTCATTCACACCAACAACAAACATCGGGGCATCCTTGCTTGGTGCGGAGATGATAACCTTCTTTGCACCACCCTGAAAACTTATCCGAGAATCTAGTTAGTGGAAATAACCAGATATACTTTGTTGATGAGAAGCATAAACCTAAACAAGGATTTATTCTCACTACTAAATATGTCTTAAAGACATCAGAAATCACCAAGGTATTATGTATAATAAAAAAAATTGTTATATCATTTCGAAGATAAAAGAGTCTAACACCATGCAGTGGTTTTGAACCAAATACATTGCTAACCCATTGAAATATGATAGTAAATTAAAAAGGAAAACCCATTGAAATTTTACAAAGAAGGTTTATTCCGAAAACAATCCTAAAGTATTGTATTAATTACTCCAGCTAAAGGGCTATTCCTAGTGAAAATAATAATAACAAATCTTGAAAGTACGTAAGTCTACATCTACCAACATTAGAGGTAACATTAAAATAACATAGATAATCATGAATATGCGTATTAACTATACTCAACAAACCTTCAAATGAGCAGCAGCCTTGTCCTTATCAGTGAAAACTCCAGTGGATTCAACTACATATTCAGCTCCAGCCTCTCCCCATGGGATCTCATCCGGGTTCCTAATGAATAAAAATGCTTAATTGTCAGATAGTTAGAAAAATCAAATGCTTAACTGTCCGATCGCTAAAAAATCGAAGTAGAAGAAGAAAGATCACAAAAATACCTAATACCAAAAACGGTGACTGCTTTTTCCCCGAAGAGAAGAGTCTTACTGTCCTTGACCTTGATATCGTGGTGCTTCCACTGGCCGTGTACACTATCATACTTGAACATGTAGGTCTGCAAATGACAGGGAGCCAAATAAAGATCCAACACAAATAGACGAGAACAGAAACATAAGAATCTAGCTCCAGTCCTTGGACAAGTATTAAAATTCGGAGGACGAGGTTTGGATTCAAAGACTGAAACTATCTTTAAAGAAGATAAGAACTATATACTCGTGTGTTACGGAAATGGCTGGCTACAGAAGACCGAGTTACTTCGGATCTAGATCAGAACAACATACACGTACAAATCTAGGAGTAAATCCGTAAGCTTACCATGTAATCAGTGGTGATGAAGGGATCATTAACAGCAACAAGTTCGATATCATCACTCTGCAGGGCCACTCTAGCAACAAGGCGACCGATCCTTCCAAATCCTTGATCATAACCAAAATGCAGAAGACATAAGATGGAGATCCAGAAAACTCAAGATCGAAAACGAAAAAACATACAAAAAAAAAAAAGAGAAAGAAACGAATACCATTAATCCCGATCTTAATCTTGGCCATGTTTATGAATGGGTAATTAAATAGATCGGAGAGAAAGTAATGGCAGTGTACGGTAATGAGGCTGAAATGAGGAATATATAGGAAGCTGCGAGTGGTAACCTAGGTTGAAAAATGAAGGCGGATTTGTCGATGAAAATGGGAAACTGGTCCACAAATAGAGCTATAGATTCGGATATTCCCATATTCCTCTCCAATAGAAATGAATATGATTGGTTAATCAAGTTGATTTCGTCCGAGGGCCTTTTGTAACTTTGTTTTTTCATGCCCTTAATTTAGATAAATGTTGTTTTGTTACGCATCATTACTACAACTAAATTGAAATATAAAACTTGGGATGTCATCATAATCTATCATAATCTACCGGTTACGTTTTAGAGACCTTGACTAGAAGTAAGATATGCATTTTAGGTCTAGATATGCATTTTAGAGACTTTGACTAGAAGCAAGATATGAATTGAATGACTTGGACTTGGTGCAATGGCAAGTTGATTAAGCATGCACTCAATACATATATATGTGTGGGCAAACAAACTTGAATTATACACCAGTTGTGTTCGGTTGGCGAAGACGAACTTCGCCTAATTTCACAGAATGTGTTTAGAATTCACATAGAGTGTTTAGAATTTATATAAAAAGGTTATTTATATGAAAAGCTTGTTGTTTAGAATTTATATAGAACTTATTTATAGAACAGAAGAAGAAGAGGCAGTTTGTGTTTCTCACTACACCTTTTATAAAACAGAAGAAGAGGAAGTTCAAACTCCTTTCAACCAAACACAATTTTCGGCACACAGTAGCGGTCTTCACATCTTCACCCACTGACAACAGAGGCAAGGGATGGAGGAAGACCGGGATAGTGTTTAGGCGGGTTGGCGGTGCAACGCCTAAAGAGGCCGTCCGAGAAGGGATGCTCACTCCAACGGGTGATTACGGTTACAGTAAGTACTCCTTTAAGTACTCCTCATCGACCTGATGTCAGAGCTGATGTTAGACCTGATGTTAGTGCTTGGGCAGGGATGACAGTAATAACTCATAGACAACTTTACATTTTTCAGGCGCTAAAAGAATCTGCTCCTGGTTGCAAGAAGAGATAAATCTTGAAATAGTCGGAACAATTGAGCTGGATTGGTCTTTGAAATTGGTACAGATGACCATATATTTAAAGAAAACAGTATGAATCATTCCATCCTTCTGATTAATCGTTGCAAAAATCTCACCGTCCTGGATCTAAAATTGTACCAAAAACTGATATTACTAGAGATGGATGCTGATTAATAGAATAATCCTGCGATTCTGAAGTTACCATTTGTAGCACATGCATTTCAGCTTCCTTAGGACTGTTGAGTTTAACAGTATTTGCTATATCTTGAAGTGAGAGGGTCAAGTACGTTTGCGTCAATCTCTGAATGTTGCGTCATCTCTGAATGTTGCGTCAATCTCGGACTCGCAAGCCCTGGAAAATTCTGGACTAAAGGAGACATTAGTGAAGGATACGTAATCTAAGACAATATGTGATTCTGTAGCCCTGGCAGCCAGTGCCTCACGGATAAGAGCGGAGACATCCATCAAGTTAGCCACAAGCTCATGAGAGGTGAATTTGGAGACCACAGCATCCAGATCCTTATGGTTAATAGAAGGGAGAGTTTGATGATTATGTGGGAGGTAAGGGATATCAGGATGAAAGAGAACACGCACCGTCAAAGTCACCTCTTGACGATCCTTAGTATAGGAAACAAAACTGAAAGTGTAAGGTCGAACACGAATATTGAATATAGAGGGCTTTTGAAGCCATGGAATGCAGAAATGAGTTCCTTCACCGACGATGGTGTTGTCTGTACGACCTCCAAATGGATGGAAGATGACTGCTCGTTCACCCATGCGGACGGTGTACATAGAGGCATTGACAACCGAGGATACCACGCCGACACCAACAGCAAAGCCAGCAACCTTGGTAAGCAGGTGAGTCGTTCTTGAGAAGAAGCTATTCATCATTCTTGAGAAGGGTTTTGAAGAAGAACCGAGTATACCACGCCGACGCCAACAGCAAAGCCAGCAACCTTGGTAAGCAGGTGAGTCGTTCTTGAGAAGAAGCTATTCATCATTCTTGAGAAGAAGGGTTTTGAAGAAGGGTCTTGAGAACATAAGAAGTGGCCCGACACTCGGCCGCCTTGCCCAAACGGCCTAGCTTAAGCAGCCCAACCCACGGGCGCCCATCTTAAGCAGCCCAACCAAACGGGAGGCCCAGCTTAAGCAGCGCAACCCACGGGCGGCACATCTTAAGCAGCCCAACCCACGGGCCTCCCAGCTTAAGCAGCCCAGCCCACGGGCGGCCCAAATCTTCCCCTTCAATTCCAAATCGCAATATAGTCTTCTGTTTCGTTACAACTTCCCATCCAAATCCCTTGCGAACTTCGATTTACTAAACCCTAATAAAAGAATGATTAGCCGCCTTTTTTGGTTGAAGAGAGCTGTTACCACCGTTGGTGTTGGTCTCGTGTCAGTTCTTAGTGCCTCCGTGTACACTGTACGTGAAGGTGAACGAGCTGTAATCTTTGATCGGTTTCAAGGTCGAATAAACGAAAAGACTGTCGGGGAAGGAAAACACTTTTTGCTTCCATGGGTTCAGCAAGCTTTCATTGTAGACATCACTACACGACCTCAGGAACTCACTTTCCAATGTCGAACAAAACACTTCCAGCCAGTTACCGTCACCGTAAGGACTCTTTCTCGCCCAGATATCACTCAGCTGTCATCAATGGTCAGTAGTTTGGGTAACAATCATGCTGATGAGGTAATGTTAAATTATTAGTTTATTATTTTCAATGTTCTGATTTGCTAACACCAATTATTACCCTCATTTTCTTTCCATTACATAAAAACAGTAATTATATGAATCAAACCAAGATTAGTTCGATACCTTTAGATTTTGTTCTCTACATTTTTAACAGGTAATCAAATCAATCTTACTTGAGGTTCTGAATTATGTCATCTCTAAATCCACTGCGGAAAATTTTTCGATCGACCTGCCAGTGATCTCTTCTTCAATCCGCGAGATCCTGTCAAAACGAGCCAAACAATTTGGCGTTGTTCTGGAAGACTTTTGTATCACATCCTTCAAATTCAGCAGGGAATTTTCTGACTCTGTGGAGCGAAAGCAAGTTGCCTTCCAAGATTATGAGACTGCTAAGATCTGGACGCTTATAGCCGAACAACAAGTCAAGATTGGACTTATTTGGGCAGATGCTGAGGCCAAGCGAAGCAATCATCAAAATGGTGGTCGGGGACAATTCTAGATAGAAAAATTAGTTTGTTCTCGCAGGTGGACAATTCTAGATAGAAAAATTAGTTTGTTCTCGCACGTGTAACGTTGTCATCTTGACACTCTCAAGATCTTTTATTTTTATCTTAGAAGTCTATTCAACTTCTTATATCAATATGGATACTTGGCAAGTCGGCATCCTTTAGGAATGCATTATAATATTGATGTAGGGGCAAAACTCCATGAAATTACATAACATCAAATGTAGGGGCAAAACTCCATGAAATTACATAACATCAAGAGCCCAAGTTCGGAGTATGGATTGCAAGAAGAGACGAAAAATAATGAAGCAAACATTTATTTAAGGATAAAAAATGATTGAATTTAACTCACCCTGATCGAATACTAATCTTCTCGTCATCTCTACCACAGCAAAGACTTCAGTTCGATACAAAATCCTCATTGTCACCGTAACCTATAACTTCATCATGTTATCGAACCCTTTATGTTTTTGTTTGCATTTCTTGATTTTATGAACTAGCTACGTCATGTTCTTATGTCAATTAAGACTAATCCTTAGAAAATTGACGTCTCACACAACTTCTAAAAAACAAAATCAACTCACACAACTTCTAAAAAACAAAATCAATTTAGACACATTTTTTATTTTGGCACTTCCGTTCAGCTCTAAGTTTTTGGTTTCATGTTTCACACTCATATTTTATTCGGTCAAAATAGAAGAAGAAACAAAAAAGAATAGAAGTCGAAATTCTTAAAAAAAAACAAAAACTCAAATTAAAAATGAACCCAAAAACAAAAACCCAGATAAAAAAAAAAAAAAAATTCAGAATGCCATTGATATGCATAAGCTATCCATCAAACTAGTTCTTCTAAATCACAGGATATTATACATCTTCAAACTTGGGCATGTTTTGATGCTTTGATGCAAACTTACTAACAGCAACCTTAAAGGCCTCATCCCAAACAGTAGCAGCTCGGATATTTTCTTCTTCTTTAGCTTCTCTCAACAATAGCATTTTTTGGCGTTGCTGCGCAACCTGCTCGGACTCGCAAGCCCTGGAAAATTCTGGACTAAAGGAGACATTAGTGAAGGATACGTAATCTAAGACAATATGTGATTCTGTAGCCCTGGCAGCCAGTGCCTCACGGATAAGAGCGGAGACATCCATCAAGTTAGCCACAAGCTCATGAGAGGTGAATTTGGAGACCACAGCATCCAGATCCTTATGGTTAATAGAAGGGAGAGTTTGATGATTATGTGGGAGGTAAGGGATATCAGGATGAAAGAGAACACGCACCGTCAAAGTCACCTCTTGACGATCCTTAGTATAGGAAACAAAACTGAAAGTGTAAGGTCGAACACGAATATTGAATATAGAGGGCTTTTGAAGCCATGGAATGCAGAAATGAGTTCCTTCACCGACGATGGTGTTGTCTGTACGACCTCCAAATGGATGGAAGATGACTGCTCGTTCACCCATGCGGACGGTGTACATAGAGGCATTGACAACCGAGGATACCACGCCGACACCAACAGCAAAGCCAGCAACCTTGGTAAGCAGGTGAGTCGTTCTTGAGAAGAAGCTATTCATCATTCTTGAGAAGGGTTTTGAAGAAGAACCGAGTATACCACGCCGACGCCAACAGCAAAGCCAGCAACCTTGGTAAGCAGGTGAGTCGTTCTTGAGAAGAAGCTATTCATCATTCTTGAGAAGAAGGGTTTTGAAGAAGGGTCTTGAGAACATAAGAAGTGGCCCGACACTCGGCCGCCTTGCCCAAACGGCCTAGCTTAAGCAGCCCAACCCACGGGCGCCCAGCTTAAGCAGCCCAACCAAACGGGAGGCCCAGCTTAAGCAGCGCAACCCACGGGCGGCATATCTTAAGCAGCCCAACCCACGGGCCTCCCAGCTTAAGCAGCCCAGCCCACGGCCGCCTTGCCCAAACGGCCTAGCTTAAGCAGCCCAACCCACGGGCCTCCCAGCTGAAGCAGCCCAACCAAACGGGAGGCCCAGCTTAAGCAGCCCAACCCACGGGCCTCCCAGCTTAACCAGCCCAGCCCACGGGAGGCCCATAGGTGCAGCTCACAGACTTCCCTATCAAATAAATAAGCAAATTTACTTGAAATCATTATTTTCTTCTCTTTTAGAATAACCGGATAAATTGTCCATATATATATATATAGTATATATAGTTTTATATATAGTTTTATATATAGTTTTATATATAGTTTTATATATAGTTTT